CTAAAAACACACTAGAAACTTCCTAACAATTTCAACACATAGAATATACTAATAATCATGTTAGCGCTCTATAGGAGAAGCCCACAATTTTATACTGGGTGCTCCACAAGTGATCTTAAAGAAGAAAAAATAACCACTTCTTGCATTAACATATCTGTTGGTTATAAAAAAACCTTACTAGTGTCCACAATTGATTTTGGTTAAAGGACCACTATAGTGCCAGGAAAACGTACTAATTTTCCTGGCACTATAGTGCCCTGAGGGAGCTCTCCTCCTCCTATCCGCCTCCTTTCCTCCTCTTCGGCTGAATGCGCATGCGCAGCAGGAGCTGCGCGCGCATTCAGCCAGTCTCATAGGAAAGCATTCATAATGCTTTCCTATGGACGCTTGCGTCTTCTCACTGTGATTTTCACAGTGAGAAGCAAGCAAGCGCCTCTGGCGGCTGTCAAGAGACAGCCACTACAGGCTGGATTAACCTATTTATAAACATAGCAGTTTCTCTATAATGCAGCGTGTGTGTATGTAATGCAGAGTGTGTGTTTGTATGAGTGTATGTGTATATAATGCAGTGTGTGTGTATATAATGCTGAGTGTGTGCATCATATACACACACTCATACAAACACATACTCTGCATTATATACACACACACTCATACAAACACTCTGTTTCATTTTATTTTTTAGCCCCCTTTCCCTGCTTGTTACCTGGCCAGGGATGGGGGCTATCTCATTCCCTGGTGGTCCAGTGGCATGGGCTGTGCAGGGGGGCCGGGAGCAAGCTGTTACTTACCTTTGTAGCAGCTCCGGTCAGCTCTGTTCAGCTCACAGTGTAAGTCTCGCGGTCTGCGTGCTGCACGGAGTGTTTCCACGGACGTCCATAGGAAAGCACTGAGTAATTCTTTCCTAAGGGCAGTTTGAATGTGCACGCGGCTCTTGCTTTGCATGCGCATTCGGATCTGACGTCGGCAGGGGGAGGAGAGGTCACCAGCGCCGAGGGATCCCGACGCTGGAGAAAGGTAAGTGGCTGAATGGGTTTAAAGGGGTTAAAACCCCTTCAGCCATTTATCTTAATCCAGTGCCGGGCTCCCTCAGCGCTGGTGAACTCTCCTCCCCCGCCGACATTAGCTCCCGAGTGGAGCCGAATGCACATGCGTGGCAAGAGCCGAGCGCGCGTTCAAACAGTCCATAGGAAAGCATTTCTCAATGCTTTCCTATGGACGTTCTGCAAGCTGGATACGATTTTTGCATCTGGAGGGTTAAAATCTGGGGGAGCTGGCACCCAGACCACTTCATTGAGCTGAAGTGGTCTGGGTGACTATAGTGTCCCTTTAAATACCCTGGGTTTGTCTACTTTTACAAATGGTATGCCAAGATGGGAAATATAAGACAGATATCGCACTAGCGAACCCTAGAGCCAAAATAAATTTAGTATTTTTCTGCAGAAAACACCAATATGAAGCGAAATCGACCAAGCGGGTCTCAGCAACGAAAAAAATTAAGAGGGCAAAAGAAAAGTCAGCTGAGGCGATGTCTGGATCAATTTTAAAATATGTTGCACCTTCAACATCTACCACAGTAGGAGAAAGTGCTGAAGACGTTCAGTCTGTTGAATCCAGAGGTGAGATGCCTGAAGTATCTTCTCAAGAAGCTTCATATGTGAAAGCGCAAGAATTGGAGAAGATAATGTTATCTTCAAGCGGTGAAAGTGATGTAGATGAAGACTCTGATGATGATGAAGAAGAGGAGACTGTTCGACTGTCAGTTTATTCTGATGTTGCTCCTTGGCCAGTTCCAGTTCCAGATGTTTTAAGAGTGGACCTTATTAAGAGGGGAAGTGAACCTTTCCAAAATAGAGATGGGCCATTCAGTCCTGTTGAAAGGCAAGGAGAGAAATCGAAAGGGAAGAGTCGACAGTTGACCACTGCATGGTTCTATAAGGCTCTGCCTATTGGCGAAAAAATTCTTAGAACGTGGATGGTATACTCTCCTTTAAAACAAAGTTTGTTTTGTTTTTGCTGCAGACGTTTTGCTGTTGATGACAAAGTAACAGGGGCATCCAGTTTTGTTACTGGGTTTCAATTGTGGTGGAAGCTGAACCCAAAGGTGTCTGATCATGAGGCTCCTGAGCAGCATCTTACATGCTTGGAGAAATGGAAGACCTTGAGAGCAGGATTGAAGCTACAAAAATGCATTGATCATGTCCATCAAACAACAGTGGACAGAGAGAAAAGGAAATGGAGGGATATTTTGCATCACCTTTTGGATGTAACTTTGTTTCTGGCTCACCAGAATCTCCCCTTTCGTGGTCATAGAGAGACCATGTCATCCGCAAACAAAGGCAACTTCCTCGAATTGGTAGAATTGCTCTCAAACTATGATCCCATTTTAAAGGAACATTTCATGAGGCTGAAACATGCTGTTGCATCTGTAAAGAGAATGACTTCCTATTTCTCTCCAAAAATTCAGAACGAATTAATTTGTCTTTTGGGAAATCATGTGAAGGACAGAATAGTGGCTGAT